GGGGGGGGGGGGGGGACGGACATATAACGAAAATGCTGGTGTAGTATGATAATTCAGAAGTATTAGAAATCTTTGGCAGTCCAAAGATACTTGAGGAAACTTAAGATATGAACAAGGACTGGTTTAAAACTTCCAATTATCTTTTAAAGCTAGAGATAAATCCTCTTTCAAGAACAAGTTGAAAAAATAAGCAAACAAATACATAAAATAAAGGATTTAGAGGGGAAGAAGTCTATCATCTTCTATGCATGCATGAGTGTATGCAAGCACAATATAGGTGGCCCAAGGAATGGAGAAGGAAAAACGAAGTGAGACGAACTGTTTCTACAGAACTCCCAAATGGTGCCCATCCTATTATGCATTGTTATAGCAACAAGGTTAAATTTGTTAAACAGAAAGAGGGAACAAGAAAGAGTTTCATTGGAAGGGTTGGTGATTTGGGTTTTTTTGGGGGTTTGGGGGTTTGGGGGGGAGGGGGGGTGATGCGGCAAAGAAGGGTCATTTGCTATTATGATGTGGTAGACATGCATGACAAAGCAAATAATGTCCAAATAGGTCAATGTCAAGTCGATAAGCATATCTTTAGCATACAACTAAGATATACACCATATCGCCATACGTAAATCTCATACCACCTCCACCCCATTTTACATGACCTAGTCAAGTTTACAAAGATCGACTTGATCTTTATATATCATCCATTAAGAATAAAATTTATATATACAGAAATTATATGGGAATCATGAGGACCACAAATTACTTAAACTGAAACTAGAATATATATTGAAAAGGCCACCATCCAAGAAGAATGTTTTGAGTCTCTCAAATACGTAACTAAATCCGGACTCATGATGAACAACTAATCACTGTGATAGAAGGTAGGATAGCCATGGATATTTTCACTATTCCATAAAATAAAGTAGTGACCACGAGCGTATAACTACAATTGGCAACAAAGTACATGGTGGACTACACAAAGAACTCCTTTACTAAATCAAGCAGCCATGCATTGTTGGAGTATGACTTTTCTCGGAATCCAACTCTGTGAAGGAAAGAATCACACTTAAGAGCATAAAGCAAAACTCACCCTTCTAGATTCTTCTCTTCACAAAAATTTCTGAAAGCAACACAAGCATTCTTTACTCTTTGTGCACCTATGCTGCAAAACAAAATAGGGCTTCTAAGTAAACAATGAGCTAGATCCCATCTGTAAGAATTTATACAAAATTCCTACATAACTAAATTAAAACGACAGAAGCAGAATCCTAGGTCAATCCTTGACTGAATTAAAACTTTTAGTTTTCTATTACTTGTCCACATACTATAGAAATAATCAAATGAAATGCTTAAGCATCAACTGAAGCCCGGTTACTATATTAGCAAATAGTCCTAACAATATAAAAGTCAGATACCTGGAACTGCTACCCTTGAATTGGTGGACATGGGCATCAACCTGCTTATAATCCACAACTTGCTGCTGCCTGTATAATCAGGATTACCAACCTATTTAGCTCAATCTTTTGAAAAATTGAACAAACAAAGAGAAGGCAAGCTAACCTAGAATAATCATAAGAAAAAACTATTACTACTACAACTCACAGAGCCATGGCCAGGTTGTTGAGAAGTTTCTCAGAATTTTCAAAGAAAAGCGAAACCACTTCAACCACAAAATCAGGGTTGCTCTCATCTTGCAGTTTCTGAAGCTGAAGAAACTGATCATCCAAGAATCCCTTTTGTGTTTCGAACAGCGGAAAAAACCCTCATCAGAAATAGCCTCAAACCAAGACATACCCAAATCAAAACAAACATGAAAAAGGGGGGAAAAAGAAGATAAAGACTGCATCTTTTGGACTGTAATTACTGAATTACCCAAAAAAAAAAGAGGGGAAAAAAAGGAGATAAAGATTGCATTATTTTCTGGGGTTAACCTTTCTTGAAGACTACAAGCTCACCTCACGATAGAGAGATCGCATGAACTCCATAAACTGGTTCTGCAACTTCCCTACAATTTCCATGATTTTGGGGTTGTCCTCTTCCAACTTTTTACACTCTTCAATCACTGCTTTTGGACTATTCGGTGGACTTGAAAATAAGCAGATCTCACAGATGCACGAGAAGTATGGATATAGATATGTTTTACTTATATATTAGAACGGCTAGTAATGAGTTGTGAGATGAGGAAGACATTGAAAAGGACCTTGATATGGTACGAAATCAATGTGGTGTTATTAATCTTGAATTGACTTCCGCCATAACAAACGCACATTTATTCATTAAAATAAACAAAAATGGCACGTCTGGTTGTGTATGTCCCTGTTGCCCCTTTTTTGTCTCACCCTCTATATTCAATTTATTTGGCTAAAATGACATACTATATAAAATGAACGAGAGGCAATGGCACAGTCAACGAAAGGGGTATTAATTAGAGTTGTCAAAACGGGCTAGCCCAGCCCAACTAAGCTCAAGTTTTGTGGGCTTTTAAATTTGGTGGGCTAGGGCGGGCTGACCCTTCATCTAAACGGGCCTTAAAATTACCATCCCAGCCCTAAAAGGGCCGCAGGCTAGGGCGGGCCGGCACTTAAATTTTTTTAGAAAAAAATATTTTTTTAAATCTTTAGATATTTTTCCGTGGCATA